TATTTTTAATAGAATCTCACCCTCAATAAAATAGTTATCTATTTTTAAATTAATTTTATCTTTTCATATTTATGTCTATTAAACACCTTACAATAAATATAAAGTCATCCATCAATAAGAATACTTAAAAAAAAAATAATTACACCTCAAAAAACTAAAAATGTCTTATATTTTTTAACACCCAATTCCTTAAAAAATACCTTATATTTTTTAACGGAGGAAGTATATAATAAAATTTACTATGTCTTTTTTAGTGATTATATTTAAATATGATCTTTGATTATATTATCTAAAATAAGTTTCAATTTGTTAAACTAATTTTTTTTAAAACGGTATCAATATATAAAAACATCACAATAACTAACCTTTTACCCTAACTTCAGTTTGTTCTTTTTAAATTATAAAAACTTTAATTTTAAAATTTTCAATACAAACACAGGGAGATGTTTTTTTCCCCCTATGAAAGATGTATATCCATAGTCAATGCCTCTTTTGCTTTATCTTTCCTTTGAGTATCTGCCATTCTGCCTTTTTGGGTTCAAAAGTCGGAGGGAAAAATTATATAAAGGACAACAATGGCTTTTTGGCACATTTAGGAGTGGCCAACAAGCGAGCACTCCCTTCCATCTCATATATTAAACGCCTTTCAAAAATATAAGTTAATCTGTTTATAAATTATTAGATGATTAGATTATTTTGTTTTAAATTATAATTTTCAAACCACCCTTAAAAAATAAAAAAATATAAAAAATAATATTATATAATTAATTTATTTTATATTTTAAATTATGTTTAAAATTTTATTTATTTTTATTTTTTATATTTTTATTATATTGATGGTAATAAAATTATTAAAAAATTTATAAATAAAATGAGAGAAGTATATATTAAAAACAACCCTAGTATTATGTTATAGCATGAGGGGTCACATACTATTGCGAGCGCACATTCCAACAGTCCTTTAAGTCAACGTTATGATTTTAATATTATTATAATATAATATAATGCAACAAGACGTGCACGTTTTGAAAGAGGAAGGTGCAAGCATTGATTCCAAGATTCAATTTCCTCTTTAGGCTTTCGGCCAATCAAGCTTTTCCAAGTGCCGCCCGACAGCCCTTTCTGTTGCCATTTTCTGCACGCATTGCAACTTTCTGACTTTATGATAAGGGAAATTCATGTTCAAGGCCAAACAAGGGTTTTATTTATAATTAACCTTTAAGAATGCGTAAAAATACAATTAATCCCTTTCAAATTGGTTATGCTTTGTCATGGATATGAAAAGACCACAATGTCCCAACTTTAAACAAATTTAATTGTAAATTACAAAATTTTATTCTTGAGTAATGATATTTTATTTGTAATTTGTAAATTCGTGAAGATCCGTAGTAAGCATAAATTAACCTACAAAATATTTTCTCCCTCTTACATTTAAAAATGGTTATCACATATTTACAATTAAAATTTCATAGTTTACCATTGAACAGATCTAAAGCTGAAGTCGCCTGTCTTTTCACACCTACATGACAAATAACAACTAGATATCAAGAAATTTGATTTTTTTTTTCTTTTGCAAACCTACAGAGTAAATAATTCCCTCAGCTTATTAAATTGCACACACAAGTGTCTCTATTTTTCCTTTTAGATATACGATCAGATGGTTATGCAACATCAAATATATTCTTTCCCGTTATATTAATTATGTTTTTCATAAATTAGTCAACAAGCTATAAAAGCTAGGTAATCTATGATTTGAATAAAAAAAATAAGAATAAATAGGATGCATCGTGCATGGAAATGATACTGAACTAATTCAATGCCCGCGTAGAATCCTAATTTGCCTCCATATGTAGAATTTGACCTCTAGGCCATGTAAAAAGCTGCATTAATTATTTTCTCAATTATAAACAGTAATAAAATTACTATTAATCCTAATAAGCGAGCATTGAATTTAAAAAGATACAACTGGGCCAAGAGGAGAATCTGAGAAAGATTAAAGCAAAGCGCGTACAGTTATGTGGAGTATAGTTCTCTAGCTCCTTTAATATTTGCCTTCCTTATGCTTCTTTTTCTAATTAACTTTTCAACTTTCGAATTTGCTTGGTAACGGGAAAAAGTCATAGATGACAGCGGAAATCAAATCTGAGGGGGAAAAAATTTGTGAGTTCAAAATGGAGAGGGAGCAATTACATGAAAATAACAAGATAATGACATCTCAAAAATTAGATTGTTGTTGCCACAAGATGACTGAGTTCTGATTACTTACGTTTCGAATCAAGGAAATTGATGAACAATAGTGTTATATTACGCAATCTACAAACGATTGTATAAAATTTCTATCATACCCATCGAATATCAAGTGAAATCGTGTGGGTTTGTCATCGAATCACGCTTTATAATTGTATTGCAAAAGATATAATCCTCTTCCCAATTTCTAACCATTATATCCAGATTTGAATGGTTTAGGTTATACTTGGTCTCTTAAAAAAGATATTTCATTTTACTTTGTTTTCAATGTATTTTTTAATTGTTTGCATTAAATATTTTGGCAATTTAAATTTTATTTTCATATTTTTTATAATTCAATATTCTGTAAAAAAATTTAATAAGATCAAATCTCATTTATTTAAATTTTGATTTAATAGATAGGAAGAGAAAAGGAAAAAAAAAAGTAGAGAGAATCTTCTCCGGTACTTTCTGATATGATAAAAAAAAAAAATTAGTATAAAAGGCCTATCTAGCAAAGATATTTTCTAGTCAATAATTGACTTGGTTAAGATCTCATCATTAGTTTTTGAAAAAAATTATAACTAAGAGATTTTATTATTAAAAGGTTTCATAATATTTATAAAATACTCTAAAATTTTATATCTTATACATTTATAATTGCGTAAAGGGTATTTATTATTGAATAATAGTCATTTATAACTTAAAAAAAATAACATATAATAACAAGTTATAAATGCTCATGCCACAATTGCAATTATCATTTGCTGAATTGTAAATGTGCAAGATTTGAAATTTAAAAATATTTTATAAATTTCATAAAACTTATTAATAATAAATTCTTTTCTTTAGAAACTAGTATAATTTTCTGGTAGTTTGTTTATCAAAGGAATTTGTTGTTGAAAATTGAGAAAATGACAATAAAATTTCACCAAAACATATAAATGATAAGCAGTTCCATTGAGATGTCATAATTCCTCCAAAATTTTTAGGTACCTTTTTGATATTAATAGTTTTAGATTAAATGACTAAATTACCCATTGTTTGAGATAAAACATAACAGGTTCACTTGAAAAATTATAATTTATTATTCAATTATTATAATTTATAGAATAAAAGCTGTGATTACTTAAATAATAATTGTGATTGATTATTTTTAGAACTCAAACTTCAATGATAAGAGAAGTTTCATGTTAGAAGTCATAATTTTTTATACAATTCTAATAAAAGTTTTGATTGTTTAAATAAGAGGTATGATTGGTTATTTTCAGAACTTGAATTTTGATGATAAAAAAATTTCATGTGAAAAGTTATAATTTTTTATTTAATTTTTGTAATTCACAAAATTTAAATTATGATTGAGATTGATTATTTTCAGGACTTGTTTATTAAACATAAAAGAAATTTTATGTGAGAAAGTTTGATTTCTTGTCTAATTTTTGTCATTTACAAAATAAAAATTGTGATTAAAAAAATGGAGCTAGAACTTTTATTTTTATTTTAAATAAGAATAATTTAGTCATTTAATTTAAAATCATAAATTTCAGAAAAACACTCAAGAACTTTAAAATTTTTTTGACATTTTAAGAACTTAATTCACATTTATATATTTCAGTGGGATTTTATTATTATTTTTTAAAAAATTATAAATTTTTTTTATCATTGCCACATCAGTAATATTTGACTTGCAAAAATTTCAATAAAATTTTGTCATAACTTTCTCTGACATTGCCTAATATCCTAAAAAATCTGGAAATATTATCACTATTTGTCCAGACCAGTCCAGGCTACTGCTGGGCAGGACCGTTCTTAGATTGGTTGATCCATAGATTGAAAATATATAATTTTTTTTTTAACGAAGTGCATCACAAGTAGTATTTATGACGGGCTGTCTGTTTCAAACGTTGGCGTCAAGAAATAAAAAATAGGGAAAACATGGGCGTGACGGGGTTTAAGCGTAATCGAAGGTGCGCGAAGTGTCATGGTATCTCAAAAGGTTAGAGAAAGTCAAAAGATCTAAAAATGTGAATCGGGGTCACATCCAAAGTTTATTGCATAACGCGAGATTTGTTTTTGAGCAATACAGAATGCCGAGTTTAAAGTTGCACGGCTCCGGAGGAATTCCAGCGTCACGCATGTCATTAATAAATTAGGGAGGGGCTGATTGTGGCTTGGTGGTGAAAGTGAATTGTTCTCACTAGTCAAGCCATGAGTTCGAATCTGGCATTTTCATACACCCACATAATTAGGGAGGGACTGAAACAACTAGATTTTTTGGAGGGTTATGGATGTATACATGTGTGGAATGTCGACGAGGAAAAAGGATGGCATATAAATGAAAAGAATAGCTCGGGACATATATCGATTCAAAGCATAACTATTGTGACAATATCTACCAAGCATACACATAAAATACTGAGATATATATGATTGAAAGTGTGTGGAGTCTTTGAATTCCAATTTTGCATGGTTAACAATGCTAACGATGGTAATAATTGAATTTAGTGTGGGAAAACAGAGAAGGAGGAAGGGCATGCCAGCGATTTTTTTTTTTTTTGGGGAGGGGGGCGACACATGGCCACGTCACCCTCCTTCCACGTGTTCCCATCCCCCCACGCTCATGTCACCAAATTAATACATAATCTCATGGTAATTAAGCTTGTTGAAAAAATTAATTAATTAAAACTGCCTTGATGCCCACGCCTGTGATCACGTACCCTCTATATATTATACACACACCTGCACCCTCCCTCTTTCCTTCTTCTTTCTTCCATCAATCTCCCTGCCGGGTGCCTTTCTTTTGCCTCCAGAATCTCCCCATCCTTCTTGTTTCCTCCCAATATTCTTCTTCTTCTTCTTAATCTCCCTTCTCTTTCTATTTCAGGTTATTATTCTTTATATTTCTGTTTCGGAGCCCCTTCACATAGCGGTTTCCCATTCCCTGCCTCCTCTTCTCCTTCAGGTACGCACCGCCTTTTCCCTTTCCCTTTTCTTCACTCGCCTTCTTTCTCTTCTCACTTCATTTCTCTCTTAATTTTTCAAATCCCCCACTTCGTCCCTGCTTTCAATCTCTCATTCCTTATGGTAATGGCCTCTCTCTCTCTTTTTCCTTCCTCTCAAGCTTTCCTTTAAGTTTCACACCCCCCTCTCTCATGAATATCTTTAGGGCATGCGCCATGAAAATATGCAGCCTTTTCGTTGATTCGGCCATCAAACTATTGGCTGTGCCCTTGTCCGCATTCGTCCTGCTCCACGTCGTTTTGATTTTCTTTTCTTTTGTTTTTCTTTTTGGGTTCTATTGGTTACATAACATTTCGATCGCACCCTGTACGCAACGGTGTTTTCTGTTTTCTCTCATTTATAAATCACAAAGATTTAATCGCGCCTTGTGCAAGAAAACAAAAGGATTTGTTTACTGCGGGGGCCTTCCCTATTGAATAATGATTTGATGGCCTATTTTGTCCATTCTGTATATTGTTCTAGGTGAAATTTCGCCTTCAACCTTTCCACAACGGTCTTTCAATTCCGGAAAATGACGTTGAAACTTTCATCCGATTTTTAATTCTCGGTTGTTGAATATGCTGAATTTTTGGAGCAGTCTTGGTTTGCAGAGGGTGCAAGGGCCGGACGTGAACAATGAAGGGGGCCACCACACCACGCCTTATTTAATAGAGCTACACTCTCTTCACATGTTCTTTCTCCTCACCCATTGAATTCTCTGAAAAAGAAAAAAGAAAAAGAAAATGACCCTTACCTTAACGTCGGAGAGATGGCCTTCAAACTGAGTAGTGTCTTTTGACGAGCCAAAGTCTACGGCGACTCTGGCACAAGTTTTTTATTTAATATTATTTTCATGTGTGCTTTAGATCTTTTAATTTGTTTTTGTGTTGCGGGATTTATTGCAGCTTAGTTACATGCTTGTGTAGTTAGTTGCAGTGTCATGTCAACCAGGAAATTTAACGAAGGAAATTTTCTTCTTAATGATTTCTATATTTATTTATACGTACTCCTGTGTGAAGGTCGTGCGTTGGATCTGCAATTGACAGCCTGACAGCTCCTTTTTCTTCATTCCAAGCTTAGGTAGGTCCATCGCCAGAAATTCAACTGCACGCATTCATTTAATATACACTGCATACTTCTGTGTACTGGAAACTCAAAATACTCCTCTCTCTCTCTCTTTTTTTTGGATTTTGATTCATCTTTTTATGAAATTGTTATGGTATAGATAAAAATTTAATCTATTATTTATTTTCTGTTGTACACTGGTGATTAAGTATATTATTTGATCAAGGTGTAATTGTAGATACAGGCAGCGACGTCGACATAAGTGTATAGTAAAATTTCATAAATAAAATGTACTACCATCTGGTTATGCAGTAAAAAAGATGCATATTTTACAACTTTCTCCCATGAAGATATCTGTATGGCCTCGTGTTTAGTCTGTTCTAAACATTTGACGCCCCTGGCTACATATCTCTGCCATTTTGCACATTTTTAATTAATCTAGGCTGTTCGTTTATCAAATACTTTACCCTGATCATGTGCTTATCTTCACTCCTTCTCAGAAAAAGGGAAACAGTGAAAATTAAAAATAAAAGAATCTTGTTGATTTGAAGTTTAGCAGCACCCACAACCCACTGCCCAGAAAAGATGATTTTTTTTTTCCTCGTCGTATTTCATTATTTAGTTGGAGAACTAGAACGCTACAAATCGTATTCCTTTTTTTAATCCAAGCTCCACGTTCGGAGTTGACAAAACCGTCTTCGCCCTTGGGAAAAGATCAGCATAACGGACAATGAAATATTCCATCCGATCCTATTGGCCTAAGCGCTACCTGAATTTTGACCAAGATGCAGTATAAGGTATTTAATAATTTTAATCCGCTCCAGATAGGATTTTCACAATACTATTGGATGTTCAGCGTTACTGAGTTACTGTTTAATCACGTACATACCCTTTATGTGTAACATGATCCGTACAATCATTAGTCGCGATGCCATTGTTTATTGATTTTCCATACCTTGTTCATTTCTATACATATGGCAAAAATCCTTGATTCTTACCGAGATTATTTTCAATTTTTGCGTGGTGCAGGAGTTGTTCATCCTCTCCATCCACCAGAAGATCCAGTCCAATAATATCGCATCCTATCACAAATGCGATATATGACAAGGTATTTCAGCTTAACTTACTTTGTTCCATCTGCTTAACCATTAATCCTTTACATTTTTCTTTCACGGACAAATTAAAACTGATTTAGTTTCTCTATATCTTGTCGTTTCAAAGCTTTAAGGAAATTTGTTCTTGATGGACTGCTCACCCAGCAGCAGTGACAAGAAAACATTGAAGCGGTGGTTTTTCATAGACAAGAGAGTTGGGTAAACAAGTCAAGCTCAAGTTGCATAAGGAAAAGCAACGTAACAGTGTATTTCGCAATTAACAGACTGCTGATTATATCATATAGACAACCAATTCTTGCCGGTCTTGATTGATAAACCCCCAATGGACTTGAAGTCGTCTCCTGTATCTCCTGTCCTAACTGACCCTGTTCCTGTTAACAAGTCAAGACTGGGAATCCATTCTAGTGCATTGATTTACTCCCAGCAGGATCCACCAGTACCCCCTACTACTCCCGGCAAGTATGCGAGAACCAGTTCGAGAAAAAGTGTTGCCAATCTTGATGATGTCCGCTCCAATGGATGGCTAGACGCCATGAAGGCCTCCTCGCCCCCGAGAAAGAAGCTAGTTAAGGGTTCTAATAACACTCAGGTCACTTATTTTGACTCCGACGATGAGGACTATCACTCCTGGATGGTATTCTTTCAAAAGCCCCCTTTTTATGTTTCCGCTCCACTGGTCTGCCGAAAGCCTAGAAGTTTTTAATTTCAGCATTCAATTCAATTCATTTGTTCATTCCAGCGCCATTATCCATCCGCACTGGACTCCTTTGACAACCTTGTTGACCGTGCAAAGGATAAGAAAATTGCAATGTTTCTAGATTATGATGGAACACTTTCCCCAATAGTGGACGATCCAGATTCTGCCTTTATGTCTGAAGCTGTTAGTATCGCGTGCCTCTTTGTCATCTGCTGTGGTAGGTAAACCCTGTCGGTTAAATTGTCATGGATTCTGATTTCCTTGCTCTTTCCTTTTTCCTGCTTGCTCGATATCAAACATGGGTTAGATGCGGGCAACGGTGAGAAGTGTGGCAAAGTACTTTCCCACGGCAATCATTAGTGGAAGAAGTCGTGATAAGGTAAGAAGGGCAATGACCATTTCGATGTTATGAAAAAAGAAAATCAAATTTCGCTTACAATTTGACCTGAAGGCTTGATGTAATGCGTTTTCAGGTTTTTGATTTAGTAAAATTAACGGAACTCTACTATGCTGGGAGTCATGGGATGGATATCATTGGCCCCGTCTGTGAAACCCTGTCCATTAACAATCCAGATTGTCTGAAATCTACGGACCCTCAGGTAATGAGGAAGCGATTGGGGATCTCAGAGCCTTTTGCAGCAGTCTAGCTAAATGACCAAGAATTCACAAGTGTTTTGTTTTTATATGAACGTGACAGGGAAAGGAAATAACTCTGTTTCAACCCGCAAAAGAATTCCTGCCTATGATCGACGAGGTCGGAAATCCCCTTAATGTAATAGTCAGGCTTCTCATTTTTTCTTCACTTTTTCAGACCAATTAATGCTAGTTTTGTTTGGAACGCAGGTTTTTGGAACCCTCGTCGAGATAACTAGAGATATCAAAGGCGCAAAGGTTGAAAACCACAAGTTTTGCGTCTCTGTACATTATCGTAATGTAGATGAGAATGTGAGGATTCGACAGCTCTTATGTGTGCGTGTGCGTGTGCGTGTGCGTGTGTGATATGCATGACATAAATTTTCATTTGATGATTTCTGACTGCGTTAAACGACACGCAGAATTGGATAACTGTTGGACAACTTGTCCATGACATGTTAAAAAACTACCCACGTTTACGTTCAACCCACGGACGCAAGGTATTGTCAATATCTTCAACGCTGGATGTTTTGTCGGTTTGAAATGTGGCTGCGTTCTTGTATTTTTAACTTAGAAATGGATTTGCGGCGACAGGTTTTAGAGATTCGTCCGGTGATTGATTGGAACAAAGGGAAAGCAGTTGAGTTCATACTTGAGTCTCTAGGTAAGAATACTCGGCCTCGTCTGCCTCCCATTATCCATCATCCAAGATAAACGTGGTCTATGATGCAGAAAGTAACGAATGAAAAAAAAAAAAAAAAAACTGGCGTAGGGTTAAGTGACAAGGATGACGTGATAGCCATCTACATTGGAGATGATAGGACGGACGAAGATGCATTCAAGGTATTTGTTTAAATGTTTGATTAGTGGGTGCGCTTGGGAGTAGAGAGATGGTGACAGTGGAATGACGATTTTAGGTGTTGCGGGAGAGCAAGAGTGGATGCGGCATTCTGGTATCGTCGGTGAGGAAAGAGAGCGATGCCTTTTACTCTCTGAGGGACCCATCGGAGGTGATGAAATTTCTGCAGCTGCTGGTGAACTGGAAGAGACAACAATACGAAGACCAGAAGCAATCCCTATCCCTTGGCATTTGGTTTTGAACTTCCAATACCGCTGCCTCACCCATCAATTGATCATCATTATTTCTTGCACCTAATGTTCTTATATTATTATTCCCCCAAGCTTCTGGGTTTATTACATTGTGGATATTAATTTTCTATTTTGTTCCCTTTTTATTCCCCCCGGTAATCCCTAGAGATCTGTGGATGTTTTGGGCCAGGCCCGCGACCCATAGACATTTTGTGGAGTCCGAAGCGAAGGGGGAAAAAATGCGCAGCGCATCATGTTAATAATGAAATAAAATGAGCGCAATCCTTTATTTTCTTATTTTCTTATTTTTGTGCCCGGTCATGATAGAGTGATACAGATATGTGCCAAATGGGACGATTAAACAGACTTACACTCCGTTTTCCTTTTTGAATGACTAGGGACTAGCAGCAAATACTATAAAGGAGAAACTGTACGGAACTAATTTAAGACTAATATTCTCGTTATCTGATCCAAGGTGGTGGGATTGAAATCGAGGATGTTCTAGTGCAACTAGTAACCCATCTTATGTTGTTATGGCAAACCAAGAGTTAGCCAACAAGACCATCCACACTATGACATTAACCTTTTACCCACCGGCTCGAATTTTCGCGCAATTCCATATGCGAGTTTCTAACGGGCACAGCAACAGTTGAATTCCATTGTTACAGAAGAAGCTTGTTGTGCCTCCCTTACTCTAACAATGCAACGTTTTAGTCTAACATTAGATAATTCTGATCCCGGAGAATATAAATACTCAAGTTTTTTTTATTCTAGATAATTACTGAGGGGGAGTGAGACACGAACTCAGTTGAATAGGGCTGGGATAGAATTTCCATTTTCCATAATATACTGATGAACCTCTCCGTCAAAAACATGGGTGTGTAGAGAGGGAGTAAAATATGACTTCTATAATTCTATCAGTGTTAAAAGCGCATATTCTTCGTAGTGAAAGCTTTCAATGCACTTGGATCACACTTGGTTGGTAAAATGAAATGAAATGAATTAAAAAAATAAAAATAAAAATGAGATGATCAAAATATAAAAACTAATATGTAAATTATATTTATAAGGAAGGAGAAATAAATTAGTTCATAGAATATGAAGTCATGATTCATAAGATTTTTTAAGAGTAGAATAATTCTTACATTTATAGTATATAATATTGAGTTTTACATGCTTATCATGAGGCAACATGGTAATTTACTTCATTTTTGTTTTAATTTTTTTAATCAATTACATTCCATTATTATCTTTTCTACCAATCAAATGGAACCTTAAAGTTGAAAATTTTGTTACACATGCATTTTTTTTATCAATTATCAATCATCAATAATCAATCAATATATATAAATTGGAACAATGAGAGGAGGTTCATAAAAATTGAAAATTTTAGGCTAACATTACTATAAAATAGTCTTTTTACATTGCATTTTTTGGTATTTTCACATCACGATTGGAGAGGACATTATACTAGAAAACTTAAAATAGTAGCTCATACACATCACTTAAATATGTGACACAAAAAATATTAACCACATCCCACTTAAAGAAAGAGTGATGTGACCCTTTTTGTAAAGTAGAAACATGGTTTGCAGACAAACCACATCACCCTTATGAGAATGGGAAATCATTTCCCCCTTTTAATAGTAGTGACATGGTTTTATTTGAACCAAATCCCTCTTATGCTGTTGGTGATGTGATTTTTATTATTTTTTAAATATATAATTTGTATTTGCTTTACAACTAAAATAGAACCTGTCAGAGTATCCTACAAAAACAGCCATTCATATGGCCAAAGTCTAGCAAATAGCAACAGACACCATCACAACAAAAACATGCCAAATTAAGTATACCAATAGAACAGCAAAACTATTGTCATCTATTCAAGTGTCAATATTTACGAATCAAGAAATCTTTGATGATCAAAGTAAATTATTTTTCTTTCATACTTAAGTTGGTGGTACTATGTGCCTTCTTGACATACAAGACATACATTATGTCATTTAACACTATATCTTGACAAGTTTTCACATGTAAGAAAGTCATTTATTATAGTGAAAATCGTGGTGCCTAACTTAAAGTGCTCTTGCTTATAAACATCAAATACATCTACATCTTCCTCTCACAGCATTGTTAAGTCCTCGATTAAACATGCCAAGTAGATATCAATATTGTTTCCTGACTGTTTTGGTCCTGAAATCATCAAAAATAATATTATGTACTTATGCTTCATACACAATCAAGGAGGTGGGTTTAAAAAAATTAACAAAACTAGCCATGCATTATATGTAATGTTAAGATTGCCATGTAGGTTGATTCCATCCGTACAAAGCCCAAGCTAAAGGTTTCTTGAATTGTTATCAAATTTAAGAAATATGTGATCTATTGTATTCCATTGAGGAGAATTAGTTGAGTGTCAAAGTTTTTCATCAAATATTTTATCATCAAAATTCTATTTCAAATTCTTTATTTCTGTTGGATTAATAAACAAATGTTAAAACCATGGTATTATAGGAAGAAATCACATCACCTTCGCAAGAGGCCATTTAGTTATGATCTCATCACCATCAACATCATCATCCTTCTTCACTTTGTATCGCAAAGTCCTACATTTTAGACACTTGTGTGGTGCTTCATACTCATTTCTATATATAGTCATTAAGACAATCATATATTCTTTTATAATTCATACCTATTAGACATAATATTTTTTTTTTTTGCGTCATACATTTGTTTTGGAAGAAAATTATGGGTTAGAAGCATCTGACGCAAGAATTCAAGCAATTCCACGAAACTCAAATTTATTCACCCACTTCTTGACTTTAAATTAACCAATCCCAACACAACTATCAAGAGTGTAAACTTAATATATCTCGGGGTATAAGGGCTTCTCCATACTACTATGCAAGTTGTCATACATATGTACTTGTGTAAATTATGCCGTCTCAACATCATGAATCATATCTTCTATTCTATCATCCAAGTCATTAACAACTTAGTCATTCCGGGACATAAAAATTGTTCTTACTTTCCTATGCCATATCCATCTCGTATATCTCAAGTTTATCATATCACAAATTAAATACTGTTTTATTTTATTAATACCCAATACACTCTTATTCAAATAGTTGACGTAAGGACAACAATACTTTTCATTTTTATTAGGAATATTTTTTCTAGCAAATTCAAGAAATTGATCCACACCATTTTCATATTCCTCGCTCATTCTCGAAGCATTAATCTAATTACGATCCATTTTATTTTTATATAATTAAATATTTACCTACTAAAGTTAGAAAATATCAAACTTAAGCATGTCCAAGCTTAATTTCTAAAAAAATTAGGCAAAATTGTGCCTTAAAAGTTTGACATCTAAAATTAAGCCAATCATAAACCAATAAAAGTATCAAGATTAAACAAATATTTACCTATTAGAGTTAAAAAAATATCAAATTTAAACATATTAAATTAGTAGAGCCTCCCCTTAAAAGTGTAACATTCTAAAATTAAATCAACCACGAACTAATAAATGCAGCGACCTTGCACACGCACCTACAATTTAATTATACCAATTTTATCCTTTTTTAATTTGATGCAATTTATGTACCAATTTTTTCTAGTCATATACCATTTCTTTTTTTAAATTTTTCATTAATTTGCTACAATTTTTTTAATTTATTTTGAGACACATGCATTTGAAAAACAAAAAAGAATAAAATTGGTATAATTGAATAGCCAAGCTCAATTATATATTTTGAGCTAGCACATACACATTAGGGTAGAGCAAATTAAAACAAAAATTGCACATATACACATTATATTTTTTACCTACCAAAAGCTTGCATATACATTTGCAATTTAATTATATCAATTTTATTCTTTTTTATTTGATTCAATTTATTTGTCAATTTGCTCTAATCATATACCATTTCTTTTGGTTAATTTTTCCTTAATTTGCCATAATTTTGTTCAATTTATTTTGAGACATGTGCATTTGAAAAAAAGAATAAAATTGGTATAATTAAATAGCAAAATCAAAAGAATAATGGCCACAATAGATCTGGATGATTACAATAATTTTGGATCAAATTTAAAAAAAATAAAAATAAACTTGGATGGAGACAAGACATGTTGAGAGAGGAGGAGAGTTGGGTATCTTTACCAGCTTTTAAGATAGCAAGAGAAGAGGGGAGGAGAGAAGCTCGAGCTTCATCTCTATTGGGTTTTTAAACAACAAGAGAAGAGAGATGTTTATGTCAAAGAGTGAAGGAGAAGAGATGATAGGTTTAAAGAGTTGTCACAGCCATTGGCTTCATTTCCGTTGGAGTTGTGCTTTGCCATTAATGGCTTGCTTTTATGAGGGAGAAAGTGAGATAGAGTGACAGAGAATGTGAAAGAGACGTGAGGGAGAGAGTAAGATAGAGTCTGAAAAGTGTATGAAAAAAATGGCATAGGGTTCAAAATGTTAAAAAGATTTTGAAAACCACACCCCTGTACAAAAAGAGGATGTGGATTAAGAAATCCACGTTGCTAATTTGACAAGGCAATGTGGTTTTTTGTACCAGCCACATCAAATAACTATGACTTAAAGTGGCTAACAGAATTCACGTCGCCTGTACAAATAGGTGATATGGTTTGAAGAAACAAGCCACATCGCCTTTCTTTTGTGCAACGTGGCTTGTTTCATAAATCAGTACCTATGTCACCCAAGCATATGAGTGTAGTGGTTTCTGAGACAAGCCATGTCAATTGAGCTTTTCAATCGAAGTGGTTTATTTAGCAAGCCATGTCACCCCTTGCGAGGCGACGTGGCTTGTTGAATAATTTTTTTTTATTGTCATGAAGCCATGTCGCCTTAAGTTTTATGTGATATGAATTTAGCTATTTACGTCGCACTTACATAGTTGTGATATAAATAGTTCTATTGATTCATTCCTTATTTACAAAATTTCCATCATGTCTAATTTTTAACCTCATGTATAAAATATGTGACATAAATTAATGTAGTAATGAGTATTTTTTGTAGTAGCATAAGCTGGTATAGCAATAATATTAAGTCATTTTAATAAAAATTTCAATTGATAATAAATATAGTAAAATATTTAACAAAATATTCTTAATTATAAAGGTGAAAATTAGGTCAAGATGTAGGTTTTGAAAAAAAAATATATATAAAAGAAGTCTTGTAAGCTTGTAAGAGATTGATGTATTCCATAAAAATATAAAAGAAATGCATAAAATATTCTTAATTTTTTTTTCATTTTTATTTCTCCTCTATTTTTGGAGTTTCATTTTAG